TATCAATAATTTTTAATCGATATATATCGATTAACTGCTATATATCGATATATATCTGCTTAAAAATTTTGCTAATGTATTCAGAACTTGCCAAGCGAGCGCCACACCGCTATATAGGCCCTGTAGCTTTTGTGATCTGAAGATTATTCATGTAACTCATATATCACACAAAGGTACTGAGATCTTCTAGTTCTGATGAATTGGTATAACCACAGTTACAGGGTTTCGAGTTTTCCCAGCCACGATGATACTTGCCGAATCCATTTTTCAAAATTTAATTTTCGTCTCTAGTGGAAATTGAACTTGTATTTAACCGCTTAGGGGTGCGACAACTTTACCACTTCACTAAGTCACTACACCCTCACTGTGCAGTTTATTAAACACATGTTATACTAATTCATTTATATAAACTTATAAGCTTGATGATCATATCAAATGCATCATACAGGATACTAGTATTAGATATATATAGCTGACAGATTGAATTAAGGCTGTTCTACGATATTACAGGTGACCCTCATTAATGTTAATCCATTTGGATTAGATAATAATATTGATATATATGAGGGCTAACAACAAAAAGGTAAAATTCATATAGTCTGAAGGTGTTTCACAGATCAGTATAGTATAGATAAGCAGATCAGTATAGTACAGGCCAAAATTAAAACCATACTATACTAATCTGATATTATATATCTTAGCGTTAGTTTATGAATTATAGCTGATCAGTATATGTATTTAATTTTGGCTATATTATACTGATCTGCTTACCTATAATGTGAACTTAATTTTTACAAGTTTAGGTTGATATTAACAAAGTTGATATTAACGAGAGTTATCTGTAATTTCCAAAAGCAGATTAGCATATATTAAAAAATTAATAATAAATAATATAGCAAACATTATTTTTTTAAAAGCCAAAATTCTTTAGTTGTTTTGCTATTTTCTTTATTAACCTTTTTTTGATTAACAAAGTAAATCTTTACAAATATATATCATATATTTATATATTATCTTTTATAAATTAGATCAACTTTTGTATATATAGTTTTTATAAATTATAGTTAAAAATTTTTCAAAAAAAGCAAATAAATAAATAAAGCCGGTTGAATAATTATTTAACATCATCCTCTCTCAGTTAATTGTCTCCAAAAATTAAAAAAGCCAGTCACAACCAGTGTTTAAAATTGGCTTGCACAAAATACACATATGCAAGAGCTTTTCTTAATGTACAAATATTTTGTAAAACATTCATGCAAAATGTGCAAGTAAAATTAAAAAAAAATTGTACCAAGTTTATATAATAAATATGTTGTATTTGAAGTTGCCTTCTATCTGAAGTTGTGACTTTAGATATCTAAAGTAGTACTTGACTAGAATTATATATATAAAGATCTAATTTCAGAGGTTTAATTCTAGTCAAGTACTACTTTAGATATCTAAAGTTGTAACTTCAGATAAATCATAACTTCAGATATGATAAATATTTTGCAAAATTATAGTTGTACAAACAAAAAATTTTTTTTTACTTGTGATTGTTCAAGTAAAAAAATTTTTTACTTGCATAGCTACAAGTAATTTTTGTTCTGAATTTTAAACACTGGTCACAACTGCAGATGAAACTGGTGAAACTCTTGGTGAATAGTGGTGAAACTGGTGAAATTGGTAAAATTTAATATAAAAGCCAATCAGATTTTAGATAATCAACAGTTTCACCAGCGTTATTTAGTTTTACTAGCATCTATAGTCACAATGCAAAGTAATATTCAGTAATCATGTGATTAAAGTCAGCCAATGAGATTTAATTAAATATGCTGTGTTGTATTTGTCTAAAGTTTTCTCAAACCTAAGTCCAAATATCGATGTTGAACAACTAATCAACTTTGAACAGTCTAAATAAAGTTTACAATAACATATTCATGATAACTGTAAAAAAGTTTTGAATAAAACTATAGTATATTTTTGTGCAATTATTTGAATTTTATGAAGTCTCAAATTATCAAATTAAATGAATTAAATCTTCAAAGGCTAATTGTATCTTTACAAAGATGTCAATAAACCCCAAAGTATCACTCCTTAGTATCGATTTTTAACGATTATTTATCCTAATAATAAAAGAAATATTTGCAAAATATAATTAATATCAGATATGTTGAATGAACAGGAGGTAGGTCTTTAGGCATGGGTTATTACTTTAATTATATAAAACTGTAAAACGGGATGCTAACAGATAAAATATGCTATTACACCTTTTTAGTAAATAATCTGATATACTAAAAATTTCTAATAGCAAAATACGACCAGATCTGGGTAAATTTTAGATAAATTCTGAAAGTTTACAATAAGATCGATTATTTAAAATTGGTTTAATTATGTAGAATATCACGAAAAACAGAATATTGAAATATTAAATTTATTTTTGCCTGACATATAACGATAGTATCAAATTATTTAAAGTTAATAAAATTTACGATATTTGTATAGAATCTCACAATATTAACAGAATAAAATATTCTACTATACCTTTTTTGGTAAAGATGGATATTCATTTTTACCAGACTCATGGTAAACGCTATATAAAATATTTAAAGTTAATTGTTGTATTACTTTACTTTTGTCTAATTATATAAAATTTATGTTTTATATAGAAACGGGATATTAACAGGATAAAATATACCACTATGCTTTTTTTAGTAAAAAACAATTATCAACATTACCAGACATATGGTAAGGGACGTGACAAAAATCAGATGATTTTTTAGAGGGAAAGGTAAAAAAGTTAAAATTATATATAAGAACCTAATTTTTTTTTATATTAAGAGGGGGAAGGGGGTAGGCTTCTGATAAAAAATAATTAGGTGATAAATAACACTGCCCTAAATATTAATTTGTATTACTGTATTACTTGTTTACTAGTGCTGTCATGCTATACTCGGAAGAAAAAATCTTTTTTCTGTTGTAGGGTTAAAATTTATAGTTTTTTGCCAATTAGAAGAATAATGAGATATGTGGTGATAGTGGTGAAATTATAGTATTAAATAACTTAATTATTAATGCTAACAAATAGAATAGTGATAAAAAATATGCTGTCATGCCTTTTTTAGCAAATTTCAAAGAGGGTGATTTCTTTTTTTTATCTACTTGTAACTAAAATAAAAATAAATAAAATGAGATATCATCATATAAATTATATAAATTGTTCAAAGTTATAGTATCGAACTACTTTAATGGATACTTTGCCTGTTAGCCATAATATAAAGCCAAGTATTATTTGGTGTTCATTATTGCCAAATCTTCAGTGTATACAAGTGCTACTTACTGAAATGCCCTCAGTACTAGACTTGTATACATTTGATATAATATCACCTGGAGGTAATAAGCTTAGCAAAGGTTATCAAATTTTGCCTAAAGACTGCAGAAATAGAAATCGTGTAAGGTTTTTTGAGCAATACGAATATTTATGTAAAATAGGTTCTTATTATTTTTTTTAATAAAGATGTGTGAAGGGGATATGAAAACAATTACACTTGTAGATGAACATGCGAAGCAATTATTTATTTCGATATTTGCATATACAAAATACCTGAAGTGTTCTGCTCAGGTATATAATAAAGAATATGATTGTTTATTTTTAGTGAGTTTCTGACAGTACTAACTATATTTCTTAAAGAATGGTTGCCAAAAAGGCAAATATGACTAGCTACAATATCCTGATAATTGTGATCACAGATTATATTAAAGCTGCATAGACAAGCAAATTTTCCACTTCTACATATAACACACAATGTTTTTTTCTGTTGCTTATTATTGCAATTGTCAATTGGGTTAGAAATCTCTAATTAAAGTTTTTTTCACTATCATCATCCATTTCAGTATATTAGGTATTAATATTTGTATTAAACCATAACATATTTCAGATATTCAGATCAATTTCTAAAAAAAGTTAAATGCACAAATAACAAATACAGTACAATTAACCTTATCCCAGACTGACAGTTCTTATAAAGTAATTTACTGTTTTTTTTATATACGAACCTACAATAAATTTTAAAAATTAAAGTTCAGATATTATATCAATTCAATATACAACTCACTCTCGTTATAGTAAACTCTCGATATAGTGAAGATTTGATATAATGAAAATTCAATATAGTGAAGAATTTTAAATTATGAATTATTAAACTTTAACTCAATATAGTGATGTAATATATTATTCTCTCGATATAAGTTATAGTGAAGATTTATTTTTTTCATCCAGATGATTTAACTATAACAAGTGAGTTGTATAAAGACTTAACACAAGTATACTTACCTTTAACAAGATTTTTTTTGTATAAAAATTCTCCCATTACTTCTACCTTTTTTTTTCCGTTGTAGTTTTGATGTTGTAGAAGGTTTGCTTTCTCTCTGCCAAAATCTTAATAAAAAAACAGTTATTGATTTTTTTTTTTTTTAAACAAAAAAAATTCTTAGATTTATCTTTCAATCTCTCCACTATCTACACATATTGATATACCTATTTTTTCAAAATTTGAATATAGAGATTTGATATATCTTTCTTGATAATGTAGTATTATATTTTTTTTGAAATAGCTTTCTAATAATATATTCATCTTTATAGAACAATCATTATATTTGTAATCTGGCCATGTATCTGTTAAAGTGTTAGTATAAAAGTGAAGGATACAAAAATAAAAAAGATTTACTAACCAATCTAATCACCGAACCAATACTTTCGAAAGTAAGATGCGATAGTCTCTGCAACTGCTAAGCTTGCAATTCTGGCAGCAATCTGAAGCTTCTTTACATCTATAATTATAGTCTTTCATTGATCAAATTCTTCTTGGTCTCAAGACCATTTAACGAATCGAAATTGATAAAATATTCGATCTCTAAGCTATTGATCATTCAAATATTTTGTAAACTATTCTTTAAGCGCATCAGCTAAAAAAAAAAATAGTAATAATACAAAACTATAAAAAAAACTTGTAAGCAAAGAAAGGATTAATTCTAGTATAGATAACACCTCTAGTCAATCTCCGACCTGTGCTATATGATTATATGTGCAATTTTGGCTGAATAGTATGTATACAGAAGTTGAGAGAGGTATCACCAGTATTATAAATTTAAAAATTTTTTATTGGTGCAAACGCAAAAAAAAATATGCATAAAAAAGAAATTTATACACACATTATATATATGAAGAGCACTGATATATGTACAAATTTAAATCTATATACGCTGCACCTACTGTGCAAATTTAATTTACACAACTGGGTGTCATCTATATTAGACTTAATCTGCAAAGAAAAAATAAAATTTTATAAGAAATTATCCTCATGCTAGTCACACAAAACTACTTGAGTATTAGGCAAGTATTTTCTAGCTGCTACTAGATATGGATCCCATTTGTCCATAGCTAACCACTTCGGGCTTAATTAGATATTATTCTTAAAACAATATTTGATAAGCTTTAAACAACCAGAAAAATAACTAAAATTATTATACTATATAACAAAATCTATTAAAAAACATAAAAATACTTACTGATTCAAACATAAGATTAATAACTGGTATTGTTTCCTTATCATTTACAAATATTGCTACAACTCAACCACAGGGTTTATCTGATCTGACCATAAAAGCTGTATTTGGGAAGTTTAAGCTATTGTGACAACTAGTAGAATCTACTGCTAGTAAGTCCAGATATTTAGTTAAAAGAGCTAGCATAATTGTAGATGCAATACCAAGGAGTATAGCTTGTTCTTTTGGATCTTGAGCATTTTTGATACCATATTGTTTTGATATAACTGTGCCTTCACCTTTATATTTGTCCATTATAGAACAAACCTATTAACCAAAAAAAATAAATTAAATAAATTAAAAATAAAATAAATTACCTGATAATTAAAAATAAATAAATCAATAGAAACTAATTTTTACTTTTTCAAGTTCTGATATACTTGGATAATATAACTTTTTATTGTACTTAAGGGCATTTTGAATTGACTCAAGATTGGATGCGAATCGGGTTGATGTTGGTTAAACTTGGTTTGCTAGTCATCAGCAAAATTTTTAAGCAGATATATATCGATATATAGCAGTTAATCGATATATATCGATTAAAAATTATTGAT